GGGGAGGGCGGCGGGAGAGGCTCCGTGTCCGGGCGGGCGCGCCGGGGCCGGCCGGCGGCGGGCCTGGCTGCGCGGTGTGTGCGAGGGGACGGGTAGCGCATCCCTGCCCTGCCGGGGCTCCGCGGCTCCGGAGAGCGGCAGCCACAGGTTAATTGGAGCCCGCGCAGGTGAGGGAGCGGTGCGGAGCTGAGGGAGGCAGGGTGTTGCTCTCCAAGGCAGGGAGAGCACGATGTAATGCAAGGTTATTGCTTAACAGGAGCGGGGGAGAGCTGCTTCCCACTTCTTGCAGGAAATGAGTGCGTGCGGGGTTATTATTGCGCTTAAAAATCAGTGTCTACTACACTGGTAATTTTGTTGACTGTTGCTTTATTTTCCTTTGACAGAAAAACATCCCCATTATCTTGTTTTCCGGGCTTCTTACATCTAAATATAGTATAAAAAATCTGTAACTATGGAGTGGCCTCTTGCACTTCAAAGGAACAGCATGTTCTGCAGAACCTGTTCCTTTACCGTGCTCACTGGCCCCTAAGGTTTCATAAATGAGAACAAGAGAAATGCTAAAAAAGAAGTTATGCCCAGGTCATGCATGTTGGCATTGTTTGTTCCTAAAAGCTTTTTCTCACGTCTTTTTTTATTCTAGAATTAATGTTTTCATTTTATGTAGTACTATGGATTTTTTGTTCTTTCTGTTCAGAAGTCATGGATCTGTTAGGATTTCTTTCATACTTTTAATTTTCATCAACTTTGATTTAGGAAATTCGTTTGGACTTTTTAACACATCTTGGTCAGGAGTAAAATCCTGCATTTCTGTCAGTTACATTTTTACTTTGGGCTGGAACTTTAACTGAGTCCTTGGCAGCTTCAGGTATGAAAGCTGCCTGACCTCTGCAGATGGTAGTTTATCACTTCAGGCTACAAACAAGCTTTTAAGAACTGTTGGGGTTGTTTTGGCAGTCAACCTTTGGACAGTCCTCTCTAAGTTAAAATGCTGTGTTTCTTTTGATGCTGTTGGAGGGTAAGGTGGCTGTGTTGCCAGACTTGCATTATCATTTTACCCTCAGCTGTTTCTCTAGTGCTTCCTTGGTTTGTTTGGTTGGTTTTTTTTGTTGAAGGTCATAACACTAATTTACATTCCAGGTAAGGATGGAACTTGAAAATGTCATGGAAGCCCAAACTAAAATCTTTTTAACTTCTGATAAAAACCCAAAAAATGAACTCTGAAGTATTTGGCACTAATGCTTACTACTGTATCTTAGTAATATGGTTTACTTCTAGCCATAATCTTAGTTTTATATGATTTTATTTCATTATTATCTGCAAGTTGTGTACCTTATCTTTTCTAACTCAGTTGAATAAATTTTTGACCATAGTTTTTAGTGTTCTCTTGTAAAAACAAAGGGTTTTGTAAGATGTAGTAATTGGAAACTAAATTTGTTTTGACTGTGTTTAGTTTGTTTTGTTTACAGGACCAGTTTGTTGATGTTGGTTTCTCTATTGGTCCACAGAGATTTAATTTGATGTTTTATACCACCACAGTACATGTGGAGTAGAAGTAATTGTGTGTGTTTGAGATGTTTAGTGTTGTGCCTGTGTTGGGTAAGGACCATTACAGACCAGTCATGACAAATTAAAAAGTGATTAAATAAGATCAGCAGTTTCTCATTTGCTCTTCTTCGGAGTGTTGAGCACAGTTGTCTGCTGGTTTCTTATAAAATAACACAAGTCTGGAGTATAATAAAATTGCATGGATTGTTTTTAAAACAGTATTATCTGCTTCATAAATTGCATCTGTTCCTTGACAGTGCTTGATTGGAGAGGGGTAGGTATAGTTTGTAGAATAAATATTAGAAGTTCTGGTTAGCACTTAAAGACTGGCCTTTAGAATTATTGTGGTAGTGGAGAAGAGAAACACTCTGAATTTCTGTGATACTGTGTCGTGAGCTTAATGAATACTTTATGAGTCATGCACACTGCCTATGTTAAAAAAACCCAACAAGCTACAGACCCAAACCAACAACTTTTGTCATGAGTTTGATGATGCCTTGCGTACGTTATTATTGAACTGGCATGGAAAGTATGTATTTCTGATTGCTGGAGACTAAGGAATGTAAAATATGTGTTAAAATGGAATTACCTGTGGTATTTTGTGAAAGGGCTGTGTATTAATAGGCCTGCAGTGGAGTGTAAAGCAATATGACATGTTAACTAGTAGCACTAAATGCCTTGCAGCCCCTCAGGAAATCTAAGACCTGAAGCTTGTCTGTTTTCATGTACAGGTGATAGAAACCTGTGCATGACAGGTTTATAAGTAACTAACTACTGGCAATAACCTCTTGTCGTGCCTGTGTCTGAGAGAGCCAATAACATGGTGGTTCCTTGTGGAGAAAGCATCACTTCAGAATAGCTGGGTGCTGTTGTGAATCTGTTTCAGAATAGGTTAGAAGTGGAGGCATAGAGTTTGATTAATTTTTGTGGTTATTAATGTGCTTGCTCTGGCTTGTGTAGTTGGGTTAAAAAATGCAGTAGTTAAGTTTTTGTATAAGTGGATGTTAAATTCCTCTCTCTGATATTTGATTCTATGTGCTATGTGCAGAGGTAAATAGTAGCGTTCTTTTCTCTTTAATTAGATCACCCAGAAGACACAATGAGCGTTAAAGCTTTCAAGCTCGTTTCTGCTGTTGAGCGGGAGATGTTAATGGGAGACAAAAATTATATCAACATCGAGTGCATTGAGTGTTGTGGGAAGAACCTCTATATTGGAACCAATGACTGCTTTATCTATCACTTTCTGCTGGATGAAAAGGTATCCACAGCTGGAAAAATAACTTTTGCTGCCACCAAGCAACTACACAAATACCTGGGTTTGAAGAAGCCTGTGAGCGAGTTGAAAGCAGCCTCTGCCCTCACGAGACTGCTTGTGCTTTGTGACAACACGATAACACTAGTGAACATGATCAACTTGGAACCTGTCCCCACTGGTGCTAGGATCAAAGGAGCTGTGACATTCACACTGAATGAAAACCCTGTGAGTGGGGATCCTTTCTGCGTTGAAGTTTGCATTATCTCGGTCAAGCGTCGCACCATTCAAATGTTCATGGTGTTTGAAGACAGAGTCCAGATAGTGAAGGAAGTGTTTACTCCAGAGCAACCCTGTGCTGTGGCTGTAGATGGTTACTACTTATGCCTTGCCCTTACTACACAGTATATAATTTTGAATTACAATACTGGCGTCTCCCAGGACCTATTTCCTTATTGCAGTGATGAGAAACGGCCAATTGTGAAAAGAATAGGCAGACAAGAGTTTCTGTTGGCTGGCCCTGGAGGCCTAGGTGAGACTAAGGATTTTAATTTTTCTCTGAATTTCTGAAGCAAAGCTTTACAAATTAAGTGTTATGCATAATAATGATGATTTCCTTCACAGGTCTATATTGGAATGCTGAGATAAAAAGAGGATGATAAATTTTTGATACTTAGTACTATTATAACTCTATAATGCTATTATAACTGTAAAAAAACCACACTACCTGTTTTTTTATTAATGCACAAGATTTTATTATCATTTTTATTCACATGAGGTGTTTTATTTTAATCAAAGCTTCATTTCATTACATCTTGCAGCCCCTACCAAAAAAAATTGTTGGGTATCAAGTGAAATTTCAGAGATTGATAGACAGTCCGTAGTGACTAGGGGGATTGTGTTTGTGGACATTGCTACAAAATTATTCAATTAGTGTAGATGAATTAATTTTTTCCTCAGTTGCTATTCAGAGGAGCTCATATGAAATCCATTTTATAGATTTTAAGAGATTCTCAAGAAGGTATGTTGTGCTACAGTATTAGTAAGAAATTTTAGTGGAAATTGCATCCTACCTCCTATAATAGTAATTGCTGTCCTAACTGTAGGTGTTATCAGATACTACCCAGTTTTTATGCTCTCATTTGCTTAATATTTTTAGTAGTATTTATTTAGCTCTGTGTTAACAGAAAATGATAGTTTAAGTATTGCAAAACCAAAGTTAAATCATGTGAAATCAAGCTCTTGTCTAAGAGATGACTGTAAGGACTACTGTAATCTATCTAAATGGACAATATGCTGTGAGGATAGTAATCTTGAGCTTTTTTTGGAAAAGCTGCAATATCCCAGAGCTGACAGACCACAGAGAGAATACTTTCATGCTGTTTGCCATATGACTCTCCTTTCAGGAGACACTGTTTATGTATTTTCCCTGAAACATTAAGAATAGCGTGGCACAAAGTTCACAGCTATTTAGGTTCTTAATTTGGGTTTTGGCCTTTTAATATACGTTCCAAAGAAAATCAAGTATGCAATTATTAATTCCAAAGAAAATCAGTTGCTTATATTGAAGTTTTGCTTTGTGATCAGAATTCAGGATGTACATCAACTCACCAGCTTTTCTCTGAAGAAGTAGACTCTCAGTATAATTTGAGCTTATGTGAGTTAAAGTTGTTCCAAGATGGACTTGGGGTTTTTTTTCCAGATACAGGGCTTTTCTAAGTCATTTCAGCTGCCTACTTCCTATTAAAGCTCTTAGTTCTTTTAAATACAGACATGTGTTTTTGGACATGAACTGTTTTACTAGTGCTAGAGAAGTTAAAATTTGTCAATTAGCTAATTTTCTGAGAAGATTCCATTCTTACTTTAATTTGTAAAATTCTTTTAGGCATGTCAAATCAGATTCCATTGAAGTAATTTATCTTTTTTTTTTTTTTTTTTAAGACTATAATATCAAAAGCATAATTGTATTTATTTAGGAATCAGAATTTTATTTAGTCTGACTTTTGCTTTTGTCTGGTGTACTGTAAGAGAGATATATGAAGAGAAGGTTACTTATAAACTCCAACATCCTTGTGTAAGGTGTCAGGTATGTGAGATCTTAAGCAAATGAACTTGTGCTGCTGTAAACATGCTATAAACCACACTTTTCCTCATGATATGGGCAAAGTCTTTCCTGTACTGCCTCAGAGGCCTTTTAGAGTATTTGCTGTCAACTGTATAATTTTTCCTTGCTTAATTAATCTCTTTTTTTTAATCTCCTGTTCTCTATTCCCTCCCCACTGATGTTTTGACCAAGTATTATCCATCTTGCTGTTCCTCCTTGCTAGCATTCCTAGTGTCTTTAACACTTGTCTCTTTGAAGTTATGAAGATGGTTGGGCACCTTTATAGTAGATAAGTGTTGTGTATCTTGGTATCTCAGGTGGGCCTCTGCTGTGGAATGCATGGACTTGAAAAGACTTGATGTAAATCTTCAGTTCTAATTTTATTTGCTTTCATATGTCTCATTGATCAGGGCATGCTGGTAGGGCATCTGTGCTAAGTTCAGCCTCTTTTACAGAAGTGGAGATATTTTGCATTAATGTATTTGGCTTTAGAGTGTTTGAAGTGACACTTACTTGTATTAATTTTCTTTTGAGTTAAGACTGGAATTTACATTGGCAAAAAGCAAGTGCTTAAAATGATAATGTAAAACATCTCGGAGTTTATTGTGTATGTAACCTTTTTCTTTATCTGTACATTGGATTTTAAACTGATTGTTAGAATTGCTCATAGCAGATGCTTAGCCATTTGGTACTTTGTTGTGTTTACTTGCAGTTAATATTTAGCTCGTTCTTTCAAAAGCGGGGAGAACTTAATTTTTGGTGCTTCTTCATTCTGTCCAGTAATTATTAATTTACAATTGGAAATCAGTCCTTTCTGATACGTATGAAACTGCTTACCAAAATTCAGTTTTTTTAGGTTGTGAAGCTCTTGTTGCATGCTTTTAATCAGATTTCCTGCTGTGCAGAGGCTCTAAGTGTTTAAAATTACAGCAGACACTTCTTGATATTGGTACAGGATATGCTTCCCAGCACCAGCTGGAGCAACTTCCCCAGATCTGAGGTGTTGACTCAGACTGAGCTCCCAATGGAGGGTGCAGCTCCTCACACCTTGAGCTGAACAGAGTGCCTCCTGCCTCATGCTGAGACTGGACCAAGGAAAAATATTGTCCTTGCCCATATGTGTGCTTGGTTGAGGATTTCTGTTGCCAAGTTAATGAGATGCAGTGGGAGGTCAGCAGAGTACATGGCACCAGAGATGGCAAAAAGGAAATTGAATCTTCTCCAGGACCCAGGCATGAGGCTTCAACCTCCAGCTGTACAGAGGGGAAGGACAGGCTGGGTCTCTGCTGTTCTGTGATGACTGACTCCGGAAACTCGTGACTTCTGATAATGGGAAGAATTCTCCTTCTCTGCTTGCTGATCTACACCTATATAATATGCTCAGTGCTTACAGTAGCAGATGAAAAGCAGGAAGTTCTGTCCAACAAATCATCCAAGCCTGTACAATGCAGTAACACCAGGAGGAATTAGGGAATAGTAGTAGTGGGAAGCTTCCTCATATTGGAGATGGGGTTTTTCTCGTTAATGCTGCTGGTAAGGAAACATCTTGAGGAGGTATACCTGGATTGTGCAGCTCACCAATGGATTGTACAGCTTGTGGTGATGGGTTTTGTCTTTTAGGACTATGGATCCCTATTTAAGGAAGAGATGGGATCCACCAGGTCAAGTGAGGCAAATTGTTTTTGCTATCTTGACTGAGCAACATGGTGAGTTGGATTTAGGTTAGGCGTGGTGGTGGTGGTAGGCTGTGTTGGCAAATCAGTGCAAGATGGTGTGATGAGAGACTTCATAAGCAGCAAACAGAGCTGAAGAAGCTCTGCTTCGGCCATTTGCAGAGAAAGTCGTTACAGAACACTGGTAGTGGAAGCTGTCTCACTTTTTCTGGGAAATCAGCACAGCTGTGTTTTAATAGCTGAGATGGGGGTTACCCTTTACATGGGAGCAGTAGAAAGATGTGGTGGGGTGCCTTGGGACAAAGGACAAGGCCAATAAGAGTTTATGGATTTGGGTTAGAGAGCAAACTAGCATGGGTGAGCAAACTAATTGTGGTGAGTGCCTGAAATTAACCACTTCATCAGGAAAACAATGTAGGTAAGATCCTCTTTAGGTAACCCAAAGAAATCTACGTTTGCGGGCCCTGGTTTTTAGGGTACACTTGAACCACTCCAGTGCCTTCTGAAGGGGCAGCACAGCAGCAGACAAGAAGGCCAGGAGTTTTCCAGAGTGCACTGGTAGTGACTGAGGAGATGATGAAGGGATGTGCTCTGTTGAACATCAGTGTGTTACCAACATTGTTCTACTCAATCCAAAATACCGGCTGCTAAGAAGAAAATTGACTCTGACCAAAACCAGGGCAGAGGCCAATGTCCATCTGGCATTGACTGAACACCATGAAGGGCAAAAAAAGAGCTTCTACAAGCACATCAGCAGCATGGGAAGACTAGTGGAAGCTCACTGTCAAATGGGATGGAGGACCTGATGCCAAAGGCCATGGAAAAGACTGAGGTGCTTAATGACTTCTTTATGTCAGCCCTTGGGAACAGTGGGAAAATCTGCCCTCAGTAGAGAAGGATCAGGTTATGGACCATTTAAATAAACTGGACAGACAAATCCATGGGACCTGTTGGGATGTTCTCAGGAATGCTTGAGGGTGATAGTCAATGTCATTGTGAGGCCAATTTATTATCTTTGAAAGATCATGATGATCAGAGGATATTCCTCAGAACTGGAAGAAAACAAACGTTTTCACCCCTGCCTTAGGTGATCAAGGGAAAGGAACTAGGGAAGAACAGCCAGCCCTACCCTGATCCCTCAGGAAGATGATCTGAGAAAATCCTGGAAGCTGTTTCCAAATATACAAAGGGCAATAATGTGGTTTTAAGTAATCCCTGTGGATTTAAAAGGGGGAAATTGCCTGACCAGACTGTCTTCTGTGATTAGAGGCCAGCTTGTAGAATGAGGGGAGCTGTGATCCTGTGAAGTTCAGCAAGGCTTTGATGCTGTCTGCCATCACATCCTTTGTAGACATATGGATGAAAAATGAGCTGGAGAAACAGTTGAGGTGAATTGAAAACTTGCCTGAAAGATTTGTAGCCAGCAGTGCAGAGCGCAGGTGGAGACCAGTCACTAGTCTTGTACCCCAGGGGGCCAATGTGAGGTCAATGCTGACATCATTTTAACAACGTGGCTGGTAGGGAAGGGCAGGCCTTCAACAGTTTGCAGATGATACAAAATATTTCTGTATCTCTTGGTGCTGAAAACAGTGTAGCTTTGTTTCAGGTAACTCTTGTAATCCATGGGTAGCCTATGCAATTTTTAATATGGAATTGATTGCCGGCCTCATCTCAAGTTTCATCAGACACATTCCTGTGCCATAAAAAAGCTGTGTTTCCTGGTTGTAGTTATGTTTATTGTTATCCTTAGGTGAGAGCTGGATGAAGACAGAAAATGCATCATTCTGCCACAGAAGCTCTAGCTGTTGAAGGCAGAGGGATGTAGAGAGACATTGACTGGAATGCATACCTTTTCATTTCCATAAAGGATTTTTTAAATTACCTAAAAAAGGTCTTTCTCATTAAAAAAAAAAAAAAAAAAAGGGTTTATAATTATTTGTGTTAGAACATCATAGAAATAGAAAAGCCTATGAATTAGTCTTTCAAATATAATAAGCCCTATGTTTATTACTGGTTAGCATGTATTTAGAACAGGTTTTCTCCCATGTTTTGAAGTGGGATTATATCATGGAATAACAACTGAAAGCCTTTAAAACTGGACAGTACATTTTGCCTGACATACAATTTTACTGATGAATCATAAGAATATCAAGATCTATAGAGTAAATTAGGAATTATATATTAGACTTAGAAATTTTCTGTAAGTAATGGTTGAAAAGCTGATCATTGCAGTGAAAAAGAACTCTTAGTCAAGGGGAAAGGGCTGATCATTTGAAAGCCACTGTAAGGGATCCAAAAGCTTGGTCTCTACACTGTAGTTCTGTAAAAGTCTACAATCTTCTGTTTTATTTTCTCTGTTTTTCTTGCTTTTGTGGTTTGGTTTTTTTTTCATTCCAAGAAGGTCCTTGTGCCCAGCTCGCCTTGCCTCATTATCCTGTGTTTGGAAGAGACTTTGTAAATTGAATAACATAATCTTTTAATCTCTTCTGTTCTTTAGAGCTCAGACTTATTCTGCCAGCTGTCAAGTGGCTCACTGCTGCCAAAGATCAATTTTTATGGGCATGTCTTTTTAATGGCCTGAGAATTCTTGGTTTAAGGGGTATGAATTCATATTCAGAACAGAAGTTTACACTGTGCTGGTAAATATTTATAGAACTGGGCCTGAAAGTTGTGACTGAAATTTCTCTTCAATTTATGTCTCAGAACTGGGGAATAGCAAGTAGAATGAATAGAACCAGTGGCATGTGGTCCTAAACCAATGTAAAACTATTAAGCTGGGAGAAGAATGGAGGATAGAATAGACATGAGAAAAGGGAATGGCAAAAAACACCCTGCAAATTAACTGAAGTTTAATCTGGTTATTCTGAAGACAACATAAGAGTTATCACTGTAATAATAGACAGTCTTTACTTTGTGCTGCTTTATGCACAGCCTCTGCATTTTTTCAAATGATTGAAAATGCAGATGCTTCACAGGAAGTGACTCAACCCCAAGGAGCTGGGCCCTTGTTCTCTGAAAAGATTGGCTGTAGCAAAAGTGAAAAAGTGTAAGTAAACAATTGTGTCCACTAAAATGCTCTGTAGTCATTGGACACGACAAGAACAAACACATGTGCATTGCCAGATAGGTCAGGTGGTGCAGGTCTGCTGCTCCCACTATGGTAAGATTGTTTAAAAGCTGGGTCTCAACAAGTGTTACTGTTCTGGTATGAATTCAAACTACATGGCATAGTTCCTTTAAGAAAGCTCTTATATTTACTAAACTTGAATAATTCCTGCTAGTTTGTTTCAGTATTCATCTCCTATCTGTTTTTGGCATTGTCTCTTCCTTTGCTGAAGAAGAATGGAAAGAAAAAATTGAACTGAATTAACCAACATCTCTGTTAGGTCCAGGGAGGTGTGATGTGTTGTGATCATGCTGCCTTGATACTGCACCTGCTCTGAGACTTTCCACTGTTGTACCTTGGTAGCCTGCTTTGTGTTGGGAAAGCAACAGTCCTCAATCCTCAACTAGAGTGAGCCTCAGGCTTTGTCTTTCCCTTTTTCTAGGCATGTTTGCTACTGTAGATGGGATTTCACAGCGTGCCCCAGTGCACTGGTCAGAGAACGTGATTGGGGCAGCTTTGTGCTTTCCTTACGTGGTTGCTCTTGATGATGAGTTCATTACGGTGCACAGCATGCTGGACCAGCAGCAAAAGCAAACCCTGCCTTTTAAAGAAGGTCACATTCTACAGGACTTTGAAGGTATTAAAAAGGACACTTTGTTGCATCAGTAACTCTGGAACACTGAAGTCACTTGGGTTTGTTTTTTAAACAAAGTATATAAGAAGTGTTGAATGTTGAAACTTTTGTTGCAAGTGCTTTCCTCATTAGATTCCTTGCAGACTTCAGTAATTCAAAGTTCCACGCTTCTAACAAAGTGTATGCTCATTAAATGTGCTGTAATTGTCAAGTTAATTGTTGGGTAGGAGTCTATGGAGTTAGAACTTTTTCTTGAAACTTGATTATTTCTTTCAAAGGAGCAATGTTAATTTAATGCTACAACTCAGTAATTGTGATCTACAGGTATTTGTCCATTGGCTATCCTGACAAAATTCTTACATATTAGAAAGGAATACAAAAGAAAAATAATTTTTAAAATATCTGTGTAAGAGGTTTAAAATTGGATCTTTCACATAGAATTGTTAACCAAAAAAATGCAAAAATTTCTCGTGATCTGTTCTTCAGTTGAAAACTCTTAAGTGTGGAATATACTATGCTACTATTTTTTTTTCCAGAAAAGCTACAAACTCTACCACTGTGAACTGTATATTTCTTTCTAGATTTGATGTATGGCTTAAAATTTTCAAATATAAGCCTGGGGAAATACCTGTTACTTAAAAGTTCCTACTCTCTGGAATCTGGACAATAACTTCAGTGGCCTTACCAACTTAGCTCATCATGAGTGGCTCTAGCCAATTTCTCTTACTTCAAGTGGAGCAACATCTGCTGTAACTAAATAAATTTACCAATATCTCTGTAATTCTGAGGTGGAATTCATAGGTAAATGATACTATCGAGTAAATGTGGTAGCAGCAGAGGTTGCTTTTGGGACTTTAACCCTGTTTAGGTTCTTGTATCTTAAATTGTATATTTTAAAGCTTATTTTTGAAATTGCTTTTTCCTGCAGAGGCTGTAAATTGAATGTATCTGTTTGTTCTGTCCAGGAAAGGTGATTGTTGCTACTAACAAGGGTGTATATATCTTGGTGCCACTACCTTTGGAAAAACAGATTCAGGATCTTCTAGCTAGCCACAGAGTGGAAGAAGCCCTTGTTCTAGCAAAAGGAGCTCGAAGGAATATTCCAAAAGAGAAATTTCAGGTTTGTCCTTCCTTTAATTTTCACGAAAACAGAAATTTCACAGTGGGGGCATGTATTCCATTGGTCAAGTGATTGGAGAATGTGTGGAAGGAATTTACATTGTGGAGAAGTTGTAATACCTTTTCTGATTTCAGCCTGAGGAAATAGGTATTCTGCTAAATTGTTTTGTACTTGTAGAAGCTGTGACTTTAGCAGGGTTGAATGCTGTTGTTCTTCTCGGGTTTTGTTGAATTTTTTCAACTGTGTAACTTGACAGAATTGAAAACAAAGCAAAATCAGAAATTTAGTGGCAGAAAATCCAATTAATGCTTCTTTGGTACTAGATGCAATTATTATTTGCTATTGCTGTTTAAAAATCTATATTTTAAATTGGAATTTAGAAATTTTACTTTTTTTATCAAAGATTCTCACCATATCCTAAACTCCACAGTAGCACTTAACTTCAAAGTTAAGTGATGGGAAATCCTAAGCAAATGCATCTTACTTCCAAGCTCTTACAAGTCGTGCTTGTACTCCTGTGTAACTCAGATTTAAAGGTTTTTGTGTGGCACAGTGTCTTTAACTCTTTGATTACAGTGTTGATTAATGATTTATACTCATTCCCTTCTACCCCTGATTTAAATTGCTGTACATATTCTACTGTGTTTTCTCCTATTTAGGGACTTGTAAAAAGCAACGTGACATCTCTACTCATGGAGTAGGTGAATGAATATTTGACGTAGTTTCTTTGCTATTGTAAAAGCAAAATTTGATCTGTAACCTGCAGAAAATCTGTGGTTTTCCTTTTTTTCAAATATATTTTGGAGCATTTTGTTGCCATTAAAACAGTTGTGTTACTTTTGGTTTGTTTAGAAAGGTATACATGACTCTGGAAGATACAGGATTGCAATGGTTCAAAACTATTCTGGCTGTCAGAATCTTTTTTGGTTTTTAAATTTCAAGAAGCTTCTAATTCCCTTTCATTTCAGTTTCAGTCAAGGCCCAAAAGGCAATCATTAAATGAAACTTGTATCAGCTTTCATTTTGATCCTTAACTCCTCTCTTAAATGACCAGCTGAGAGACTGCTGGAACTAAAAAGCTCATCGAGAAAAGGTTTCCATCCTTTTGTGAAGGTCCAACTACCTGAAAGTACTTGCAGCTTGAAAGTATTTAGGCAGATACAGAGTTCAGTTTCCAGCATGTTTTGCCTTGCATCTTCACTTCCTGCTTTATCCTTCCAATCTCTTTAAAGAAGCAAACAAAAATCTTGCTGTGAGGGCAGGATGCGTAATCTAATCAATGTCTTCTATGTGTGATGACCTATCATTTTCCAATTATTTCTTTACAGTTCGTGTAGGTTTAGTGTGGGAATGACTTTCTGTGTTTTGCCACTGGATGAACTACAATTCATTATCTAAAATACATTATGTAGAATCTCATTCCTCTTCAGTTTTCTTGCATTAAGAATTTTTCAGCCTTTAAAATACATTACTTTCTTTTCACAAGTATCTTAAGTGTGCAGGGTTGATCTTCCTGAAATTAGTTTCCTAGAATATTGTAATTTCTTTCTAACTTAGTGTGCTTTTAAGGGTGTTCAGTTATTTTAACTCAATGCTACAGCTGAAAACCAGAAAACATAGTACTTGCAAGCAAAATAGCTGTTCTTTTGCTGGGGTGTATTTGCAAACTGATATTAACCAATTATCAAATTCTTGAATTGATGGAGTTTCCCACTGACTTCTACTAAAGTGACTCAGTTTGGTCTAGTTGTTGAGACATTACTTCAGTTTTTCAGAGCTTGTCTGTAGCTGGAAATGTAACATGTTGAGTTTGCTTTCTAAGGGACTCTGATACTCTGATATTGTCGTTACAGACACATCAGTCCTGTGTAATGTAAGTCTGATGGAACTGAACCAAATTGCATATCTTACATATGTGTTTTTGCAACATTTCTTTGACATGCTTTAACTGACCACACAGCACTCATTTATAACTCCTTTTTGAGAGCTATCCTCAGCTATCATATCTATTAGAAAATTGGTATTTTCTAATAGGTATCTTCTGGTATCTGTTTGCAAGCATTACTGAATCCTGAGCAGCTCACACTTCAGAGGCCTTATTTTGCCATTTCGTACAAGTAGTAGGATGGAGAGCATAGGGTTGTTGTCAAGGCACTTGATCCAGCCACTATAATCTGTCCATATATGACAGTGATTATTATTATGTGGTTCATGAAGTATAGTGTTCCCTTTGTCACATGATGCAGTTTTCAATGGCTGATGCCATCTTATGTGTCACTTGAACCCAGGGCACTGCAGGGCAGATCTTGTGGACATGGGATTTTTTTCCCTACAGTTCAATACTTTGTCACTGCATGCATGCATGGGGGCATGCTCTCCCTCTGTATAGCAGCATAAACATATGTGTATGCATGCTGGTAATGCAGAATGGTGGTGGAATAGCAGCAATGAAGTACTCTACTCTCAGAATTATTTGTACAGTTGATATTTAGTTATTGAAAAGTAGCAGGTCATGCCTTAGAAGCTCTAACCTGTTATTTGACTTGTGGTTCCCGCAGGCTTCAAATTTAGCTCTGCCGTAACAAATGAAAATTTCTTTGTTTTTGAGCATCAGGAATTCCTGCTAGGTAAAAAATGCTAAGTAAAAGTGCTCCAAGGAGATGGATATCTCTGCTGGATATAATTTTTGATAGAATACAAAGGTCTTTCTACCATGCTACCATGAAATGACTGAATACTACTTATTAATTTTTCAGGACAGCTGACGTTTGCAGAAATCATGGTTGATGGTAGTGAAGACCTTGGTTAGATTGACACACATCTTGCATAGGTATCTCTCTCTTTTTTTTTTTTCTTCCTAATTCTTTTTAGTTTAAAAAACATAGTTTCAAAAACATATTAACTGCACCCAAATCTGACCAAAAGACAAAGTGGCTTTCTAGAAAAATTCCTTTGGACAATGTAGTTGGTAATTCTGACCATTTTAGAAAGGATTTTTTTAGCAGTTGAGAGAATTAAGACTTCACTACAGCAATCACAGCTTCAGCAGTCATCTTTTTTTCCTATTGCTTTTTCAGATGTGAATTAATACAAATCTTATGTCATGTTTTTGTAGCTACTGGTTTTGATGTGAATTTAGTCAACAGTTCAGAATTTGCTCAAAGAATTGCAAGTCCTGTGGTGGTTCTTCAGAAATTATAAAGGACTAAGCAATGTGTTGAATTTTGATTAATAGTACCTTTTTAAAAGAAGCCTGTTCCAGATCTGACCAAATGATCTGGAAGAACTGAAGGTCTTTTTCTGTCATAAACAGAATTTAACTGTGTGTATTTGACATGTAGGTCTAGCCCATTCTTAAAAATCTGTGAGAAAGGGAATACTGGATTTTCCATAGTCTGCTCTGTTTTCCTCCATAATCTTTACCCTAGGATATCTTAATATCTAGTGTTTATATTGTCAGTTAAAAATCTACCTGGGTGTTGCCTATCTCATCATTGCATCTTTAAAAAGTTCAGAAAGTGTCTGTCTGTAGATATTCTACAATTTTTTGTTGCATGTCTTTAAGGGGGAATTGAAGAAATAGAAACATTTAAATAAAAGTGAATACCACTTTATTAGTTCAAATTTAAAACTGCTTCCTTCAGCCTATAGTTATACTATCAATGAACTCTTTCCACTTTTTGTTAAAAAGATGCTGTACAGACTAGCTCTGCAATTCAAGCAGTGCTTCAGTGAAATTAATTCAAACTTTATTACAAAATCATAATTGACTAAATATATAAATTTTAGTGATCACTCTAATGCAAAAATTGAAAACAGGCTTTGAGGGGGGGGAAAACACCAGCCAATCTATTTTTGATATAGCTAGTGGGGTGAGAAGTCTTTCCTTGGAAAGTCAGGCTGGATTTTAACATTTTTCTGCTGCCATGAGATGCAAATATTTGCAGAACTTAATCCTTCAGCAGTGTCATTAGGAAGGTGACCAGGTAGGTATTCATTGGTTCGCAGATTACTGTGTATTAGTGTAATAACACTGTCAGAAATCCAAAATATTCTGGATATTTTGTGAGTCAATCCGCTAAAGAAGTTTTACTTCATAACTTTAATTAAGTCCTCTTTTAGCTTTTGTTAACTCTATTTTTAATCATTACATTGAATATAAAGCATTAGTTTATATAAAGATGTCATGAGGTATTGTTTGTTTAATTTTATATTGTAATATTTCTCTGAAAAACTGTGCCTGATAACATTACTCTGTTTCCCCTTTTCTCCCATATACTAGCGAGGCAAGAAAAGAACCACAACCTTACAAAGCATTTTAGAGACTTGCTAACAACAGAGATTAAGTATTTCCATTACATAAACCATTAGTAAGCTATGCACAGACTAAGTGGACTGAAGCCAAGCTTTTCTGTTGGTAAATCCATAACCTTTATCAAGGTGAAAAATCATCAGTCAGAGCATCAGTCCACTGTACTTGAGACCTGGTGCTCTTCAGCAATTCCTTCCTGGAATACGTTCCTATTGTATTGTAGTTTCTCTAGGAAGTTTTTACTGAAAATGTTTTTTTAAGTCTGATATTAGTAACAGTGTGAAACATTACAAAGCTGTGTATTCATGAGCAAATTGAAGGGAAAAACTGAGGACATGAGAAGGTAGCTGGTTCTATTTGCCAAAATACCAGTTCTGTCATGAATGGGAATGCTCTGCAGAGCACAGTTTAGGTTCCTTGCTTTTAGTACTTCTCTTTTGCTGTTGGAAATATTCTGAGCACAAGGATTTAATTTAATCTTGTAACTGGTAGTTGGTTGACCATTCAGATTTAATAACTACCTATCATTTAAAGTAGTTTTTGTGTTCTCTTTCTACTGAGCTTCATTTAAACACTTTTTTGTCTAGGTGTGACCTTAACAGTAAAGTTTGATAACATAACTTTCTATACTATGATTTAGTTGGTCTTTAACCATATTTTTATGGTACATTGCATAATATACCACATATTGGATAGGTTGAGTTTTTTTTGGAAGAATATTTTATTTTAAAAAAAATCAGAGTAGCAAAACCGGCAGAAAGTCAAAAATATGGCCATCAGCTGAGGATGAGACTATGAGAATGGCCAGCAGTTTGCACAGAGAGGTGGGACAGGAAGGAAGTGGCTGTGTGTGGTCAAGTGGGACCATCTTTACTTTTTGTGCTTACTGAATCATGGGGAACTTCAAAGATAACCATTGGCTTTTATGTTTGCAAATAACACAAAAAACCTGAGGCAAGTCAGTGTGATGTCAGATAAGTCATAATTTGAACAAGAAAACTCAAACTTGCTGTTTGTTGACTTTGATTTTAGTAAGTAGTCATGAGCAGTGTTGTGTTCACACACATTTGTGTAAGAAAGTCTGGGCAGCAGATTCAATATATTCAGGTACATAATTCTCATGAGCAGTGTTGTGCTCACACACATTTGTGTAAGAAATGAGTCTGGGCAGCAGATTCAATATATTCAGGTACATAATTTAAAATGTAGAGGATCAAGGTTTATTTTGCTCGTGACTTGTCAGGTGTGGCTGAAGATGATTTGTTTGGTGTTTTTTGGCAGGTAGCTATAGCAGTAGTAACTACCAATAGTAACTAGTATTATATAGCTATTGCACTAGTAACTAGTACATAAATACAAATATAATAAAACTTTTTTTCCCCCCTCCTTCTTTTTTATAGGTAATGTACAAACGAATCCTGCAGCAAGCAGGTTTTATACAGTTTGCACAGCTTCAGTTCCTTGAAGCAAAAGAACTCTTCAGGTAATTGTGTGACAAGAAATTTAATAATTTACCTTCTTTAAATAAGAAGTTAGTGTTCTTTGTTTGAAAAACTTAGTTGCTTGAATGTTTTTTGATGCAGATGTGAATTCACTGTAATAAAATGCTTTTCTTGTGGTTAAGAACAGAGTAATGTTGAAACAACTTTTTAGCTGAAGAGTTAATGCAACTGGTATTTTTTGGAATGCTAACCATAGTAGCATTAAGAACTGTGTGTTGTATGTATAGAGATTTTTTTGCTTTATGCCCATGAAGGTCAAGGCTTTATCACCTAGTCTGTGCTGTGATTTACAGCATGAACATTGCTTTGTTCTTTTTTTTTAAATACTTTTAACAAAAGGTATAACTTAAACATTAGTTACAATTGAAATATTATTGACACAATTGCACTATTTTTTATGAGGATGTTGATACTGAATTTACTTTACCACTTGTTCTGTTAGACCTTTTCCAGAAGACAGATTTGTTCTTGAAGTCTGTACTAACCTTGCTGATTTAGCCATTTCAGCAGTCACTTGTTTATAAATTGACCTTGATATTCCACTTTCATTCAGAAAATGCTGCTTGTTATCTTTATTCTACCTGATAATTTCATTTCTGCTAGCCATGCCTCATCCTGTGATGCGACACTGTCTGTAGTTAGTGGAATGCATGCTGACCACATAAAATAACTCTCCTTGTTATCTGCTGAAATTCACTTTAAATCAGTTTAGAGTCTATGGAATAGGATTAAGGTTAGACAGTTTTCAGTATACCGTAAGCATATTTACAGTGTAGAAAAAAAGTTGTCCTTGGATATATGGAAATGCATTGAGGAAAGCAAAGCTTTGAGGAATGCTGCTGTTGGTGAGAGACTTTGCCATTTTACTTCCTGTTCACCAGTATAATGAAAGACACTGGGTTTGGATGAGCAGTGTACACTGAGTGAAGATGAGGGAATGACAGGAAAGGCCTGAGCAGCATTTACAGACAATTTTTTCTGGCCACAACCACTTCCCTCAGCTAGTAATTGTTGTCTTTAGTGAGAAACTTGCAGTGTTTCTCCACCCTTATCTTTCAGACACTTGTGTATCTGACCTCTGGGTTGTGTATCTGAAGCCGAAGTACGAGTGGGGCATAGTTAAGAATATTTTAAGAGCAGTGAAAACAGGAAAATGTATCCTGTGAGGGGTTGCTTATGCATCCTCCATCCAGCTATCAGTCCATCTGACAAGTAAGCTTTAAGAAATGTATCCTGTGAGGGGTTTCTACCACTTGTGGAAGGAGCCAGGGTTGCTTATGTATCCTCCATCCAGCTATCAGTCCATCTGACAAGTAAGCTTTAATGAATAGAATTGTGGGAGCTCCTCCATAGAAACAAACATGCTTCATGAGAAAATGTGCTGGCCAGCCACAAATTTTGCAGCTCAGGCAGCATCCCAGGGTGTTCCCTTCCTCTAAAAGCTGCAACTCCAAAGCAGAACAACAGTTCTGCTGATGAATGAATTGCTGATGTCTGCTTAGGGAAGAAAGCCAGAGTATGTTTCTGTGCTTTTCTTCTGTCCAGCCATACGTAAGCTAAGCAGAGTATTTTGGTGACTGAAAAAACTTGCTATGGTAATCAGGTTCCTTGATTTTCAGCCCTGGTGGGCACACTGAGTTAGAGTAACAGTTGCATGTGCCCTGATACAGTCTCAATCAATCTTGTTCATTTTAAACTTACTGATGCTCACAGGCAAAATGGGAGAGTGGCAGTCTGTGAAAACACTTCCTCCCATCCCGGTGTGTTGCTCTGCAGATGTTTCAACCTTGTTTTAGAATTCACTTCAATCTTAATGTCAAAGGGAAACTTGGTACCTATCTGAGGAAAGAGGGTATTAAGCAGTGAAACAGGGTAGCCACAGTACCTCAGATCTTGGTTTGGTATGTGGTCCTGCTTCTGGCTAAATATGAAGTGAGGTTGTCTCACTACTTGGAAAATATCTGCCAGTTACAGCTTAGCAGGGGCAATTATATTGGATTAAAGGTCTTCATTTTCTTGCATTACCCTTCTTGGATAACCTTGTCAAGAAACAGTTCTATCTTATGCTTAAATTCATAGTTCTTAAAGACTGGAACTTTTAAGAGAAATAATTTTCCAAGTTCCTCATGGTTAATGCTGATGCTTCTGAATACTGAAGAAGGTTGACAAAAAGGAAGAATGTGTAGCTTTATTGAAACTCAAATAGTTCAACATAAAGAGGATCATTTTCTTCAGCTAGATTCATTAGCCTTAAAACTGAGTGAGAAATAGCAGTAGGGCTTTTTTGGTCTGACAAATCCTGTTATAAGCAATAACAGTATTGTGGTTGTGTTAGGTAGTTGTGATTTATAGTTATGCTATTTCATGTTGCTATCATTAGGGTTAACAAACAGTGCTTTTTAGGAGGTCATTTGCTGAATTTTCCATGCCTAACTGAGATGTTTGGCAACTGTCATAGGAAAACCAGTTCTCTTCAGTGTTTAATGGTTAGATATTGCTTGCCTTCTGACCCACTGGATACTGGAACTTTTCTAAACTTTACTCTTTTAAACAAATAAGAATGTTAACTCTTTGCACAGTATTTCTCACCTTAGAAAGCCTATAGAGAGAATTCTGGTACACTGAAAAGGTTAAAGAAATTGCTGGTACTTGTACCTGGAGAAATAAAAAGTAGGAATGATGTGGGTTTTGCATCTTAAATGTGATTCAAGAATACAGGCTTCCAATACAGCCAGTAGGATTTAGGCAAAACAGTTACCACTGTAGACTTCTTTGGCATCTCTGATACCTGTAGATACAAGGGTCTGAATTTAGGCCTAAGTTTCCTGAAAACTTATAGATTCTTCTTGTTACATTGTTTATATATATGAAGCCTAATGCAGAATTGCTTAAAGGGAAGTTTTCTCACAACACTGATGTCTCAAGAGTTTGTTTTCTACTGCATGATAAGTTCCTATCTGTGCTTTGCTGAGCCTGAAATGCTAGAAGCTGAAGGCTCAGACATGTTTTTCAAAAGAGATTAAGTCCTTTGTAGCTGCTCTAAAAGAGTTTTGTCCAGATGTGTAGGAAAGATCCCCAAGACGTCCACAAATCCCAGGGGCCATAAGCTTGAGCTGAATGTTAGCCATTTGTGCAGGTGGGGTCATTGTTTAGTATTTGGTATTTTTCTGAAGAAGCCTGGGGATGATGTGGTGCTTTTAAGGAGGCTGCTTGATTACTGCTTACCATTGCTGTGGGGAGAACAAAACTGTACAGCTGAGGCTGAGTCAGACCTGCTCAGGGAGCCACAGGTGATTCACAGCTCAGGCTGTGGGCTAGCCAAAGTTTAAATTGGATTCTCCTTTTGGAAACAGATCATCATTGAGGCCAGAATCTGTGAAGTCAGAGGTAAGGTAGCTGACTGCTTCCTCATCTTACCATCTTGGATGGTAAGATGAAAGGACTCAGAAGCTACTGTAGAAGTCGGAAAATGTTTTGAAACTTATTAAAAGTGGCATATTAAATATAACATTTTTTAACATCATGTATTTCAATGGTCATAGTCTCCAGTTCAAGCTTAGGGCCATCTCCAAATACTTGACAGCATAGCTAGCATGGGGAATTGATGTTTATATTTTAATTTCTCTGGATTAATTAAGACTCCTTTTTTCTGCATAAATTTTGAGCAGCCTGTAGATATTAGTCTAATTATGGGTTGCCTTTTGTTCTAAGACAAATCAGGGAAGATTTGTTTGGATTGGAGGGAAAAAAAATCTCTTTCTTCAAATAACATTAATTTTCTAGTGTAATGTATCTCATATAATATACTTAATCTCAGGACTTGAAATTTCAGAGTAGTTGCGGTAACTAAAGCTGCAATTAGGTTACTGTGATAAGTTCATACTGAAAGCTCAAATATTCTTGGAACCATCAGGTCATGCCACTGCCAGAACTTACTACTTCTGGCTTATTCTACCTCTTATCATAATGTAGATCTAAGAATTTCAAAGCCAAATCCCAAAAGAAGGATTAAAAGAAATTTCAACTGCAGAAATCTGAAAAGTAGACCCGAATGCTTTACCTTCTGTTAGAGGTGGGTCTTTGTAGTGTAGAGGTGGGCTTTAGGCAGTAGGAGTTCTCTATAGGAACTGGGAAAACCTGCTGTTCAAGATTCTCTTCAAGGGAATGCTTCCCAATTGTCTGTTGTGGTTCTTCTCTATTGTCTGTGTTGCTACTCCTGTGCTTTGCACTCACTAGGTTCTGGAAGAGAGGATGCTGCTTTTAAATTTGCTGTTGCTGCTTTCTCCCAGAATTTCCTTCTTCTGGTGTAGATTTTTGTAGCCAAAGCACTGTAGTAACTTGAAAGAAAAGTTCTAAATGGGGATTGTCATGGTGATGGCTCCTACTAGTTTGTATTTCCTGGATGGTTTCGGAATAGTGTTTCTGGCAAGAAGTGAATGATGCAGGGCATGCCTGTAGTGAAAGGATGAGCCTCTTTATGATGACCTTTCACACTTTATTGCCTGTGGAAATGTGCTGCTTTTCTACTTCTGTGTTACATTTGTTTCTTTTTGGAATTCGTTCCAATCAAAGTTGTGAAGAGAAAGTCTGAGTTTGCTGATCACCAGGAAGATGAGAATTATTTTTTAAAGTTCTATTTGCAACAAAATAAACAGGGTTTCTTTTAGAGAGCTGTCAAGTTCATTTTGATTTCTTTTTTCAACAACAGTATTTCCTGCACTTCAGTAGCATTAATATCTAAACATGAATTCTGAATAAAAACTTTGATAGTGAAATAAAATACTATAAAATATCCTGATGTCTTGCTGTTCTTCTAAAGCAAGGCCTGAAAAGAGGGTTCACTCTAGCTGTGAAAATTAGGGATTGTTTGCCATGTGTGAAAAGAAAAATTCTTCTGTCACAACATGCATTCTTTAAAAGCTTGAGGAATTTCAATCTAGTCTGAAAGAAAAACATTTTGTGTGGCATATCTGTGTTACAACTTGCTGCTGAATAAAAGTATAGGGTATCCTTCACAACAAAGTGGAAAAGCCACTCCAGGGGATCCTCCATAGATGTACACCCAAGGTCTCTGCCTGTGCAACAGACTTATGGGTTAAGTGGATGCATAATCAGTATGTGTGGTTTGCTTACAGAACTTCTGTAAGAAGAGAGCCAAGTGAGGAATCTGGTGCATTTCAGGGTTGGAGAGAATGTTTTCATCATGCTAACACATGTTGTGAAAGCTTTAGTTTTGTACAGGAAGTTGCTGGTTGCTGTTTTCACCAGAATTACATTGGCACAATCTTTGTGGCTTGCCTGAAAGGGTTCTCTTTTGCCTTTTTTTTTTTTTTTTTTTTTTTTTTTTCTGCCTTCACCAGAATTACACTGGCACAATCTTTGTGGCTTGCCTAAAAGGGTTCTCTTTTGCCCTTTTTTTTTTTTTTTTTTTTTTTTTTTCTGCCAACAGAAGACTAGCTCCCATAATGTATGGATGAAGTCTAGGGCAGTCCTAGGACTGCTGTAGGGCTGTTCAGCTGATTTTTGTATATGCCAGAGAACAGCTGTGGAAGCTTAAAAACAAAAGGCTGTCCAGTCTCTGAATTCTCAGAGCTTTCAATGTCTAGAGGAGGAAGAATGATAAAAATATAGCAAAAAATATTCCAGAAACTGCCTACATGTAGTGTCCTGACTCTAACCATATATGAGCACACTTTTTTTTTGTGCCTATGTATACTTTTTCTTTCTTTTTGCTTCATCTAGTTTGACACTGTAATTGCAGAAGCGGCCAGCTTGATGTCCGGGAGCTGATCTCTCTGTACCCCTTCCTGTTGCCTACTTCCTCTTCATTTATCCGGACTCATCCTCCTCTGCACGAGTACGCCGACCTGAACCAGCTGACCCAAGGGGACCAGGAGAAGATGACAAAATGCAAACGATTCCTCATGAGTTACTTGAATGAAGTCCGCAGCACTGAGGTTGCAAACGGATACAAGGAGGATATTGACACTGCTTTACTCAAACTGTATGCAGAGGCAAATCATGAAAGCCTGCTGGATCTCCTAGTTTCAGAGAACTTCTGTCTTTTAACAGATAGTGCTGCCTGGCTGGAAAAACACAAAAAGTAAGTGGTTTTTTTTATTATAGCACCTTCTAGACCAGAGGGAAAATTGCCTTAGATGCTCTTGGCTTATTGAACAATATGTTTGAGTACCTGTAGTTCCTGTGCTTACACTTGTCCAAAAGACAACTCAGTCTGAATTAACATTGTTAGCATTTTTAAATGTTGGTGAAAAGCTATTACTTGACAGTGTAAGGTAAAGGAAATGCATTGTCTTATCCTGGGAAATGCAGAATTCAACATGAAAGTTTCTGTATCCAACACAAAAATAAAGAACTGGTACAAGTTTGGGAGAAAAAAGTTAAATGTTTGCCCTTGAGATAATGGGAGAGTGGAATGGCTGCAGTAGTTGTACACAGACAGAATGAAAAGATGCCTTCAAGCATGCACTGCCTTAGGAAAAAGTTATTAACCAGTTAGTGCCTTTAAAATTGTAGTTGCTTGTTCAGGGAAATAGCTCTTAGTTCTGAATTGAAAGCTTTCTATGTTCCACTGATTGACCAAAAAGAGGTTCCTTAAGATGACTGCAAATGATTTTAAACCAGAAATGCCAGAAGGCAGAGAATTAATCATTAAGCCGGGAACATTAGATAGTAAGTGTGTAAAATACAAACTCCAGCCCTAGGCAGTATGTCTATTTTGGTTTTCATTTCTTTAGCTTTGGACTGTCTGGTGCAGTAGTAGCAGCTATACTAGTGAGGAAGCCTTTAGTCGTGATTATAACTGGGGTGATTTCATTTATTTCAAGTGTTTTTTTTAAACTTTTGGTAAGTGTGGTTTGCATGGTATACTTTTGCAAGTGTGAATTGAATGAATGTTAGAACATTTTTCCCTGAGGAAAGCCATTACAGAACTTGGCTGTATTTTTCTTAGAGTACACAAAAAACACTCTGAAGTTGCACTGTACAAAGCTCTTCTTTGCCTGACCTGACTCCATACCACAGTAAAGAACATTTCTGATAGTAAAACAGAGTTTTAAACAAACACATAATAAAATATTATTTAACGACAGCTGATGAACTATTGGAAGAATAACTCCTGGGAGATGTGTGTAATGTCTGTACATAAAATTGACAGAACAGCATGGGAAACATTTCTAATTGGGCACATACTTGGATAAGTTGGATCTGGTAACTTCAAACTGTCTTGGGGACAGGAGTGATGGAGACACTTTTAGGGCAGGACTTCTCCCTTTTGATTCATAAAAAAAGCCTACAGAGACTTGTTGAAGTGCAGACATGGCCACGTACATGTCATTGTAAGCCATTATTCATTGCACTCTGTGCTAATCATCCATAGTTAAATTAGTGGGAAAGTTCTAGCAATGTTAATATTATCTTCTCTTTCTTTACAGGTATTTTGCTCTTGGTCTCCTGTATCACTACAATGGTCAGGATGCTGCAGCACTTCAGGTTAGAATAAAGCTTTTAGTGTCATCTGAAAACCATTCCAAAATACCATTTTAGCTCTGAGATAAAAATCTGAGGTCTTAGTTTATCTGTTTGAAAAGTTTGTGATGTGTGTGTATGTATGTGTGTTAATGAGAAACTTGAAACTTACGCTGACTTCCTTGAATAAATTAATATGCTAGATGTGAAAAGTCTGAGTAGCTTATTGAAGTTGACAACTACTGAAGTTTTCAACTTCCTGAGGTTGACAACTTGTATGATCCTTTTAAAGCAAAACTGTACATACCAGAACATATGTTTATACTCCTAAAAGATGGACAAAAGTGCTAAAATAATCAAGCAATCACTTGAAAAGATATTTATGGGACTCAAGAAGCATGCCCTGTGCTGATTGATTTGTATACACACAGCGAAACAGCATTGTGTTCTCATGGCAGACATTAACAGCAACTGAGAGTTTATTTGCTTACCTGGTGATGAAGAGTGAACACATTCTGCAAGATCTGTGGGTTTCAGCTGAGTTAGAAATCCCTTTGGGGACCTTCCATCTGATGTCACTAATACTGGTAGTGGCCTGTACACTGCAGACTAAATAATTCTGTCCTTTGTGTCTGCAAAACTCCATCTAGAGAAATTAGAATGTTCTTGACGTGTCTCAGACCATATCCAGTATCTTAAGTTTGCCTTATTGTGCAGCTTTTTGAACACATTAATCACAGTAACCCTATCAGATGCATTCAGGTCAGTTATATAAATAGTAATAATGGTCTGAGAAGACAACATGTAAGGGCAACAAAAACACATTTGTCATGTGCAAGAAATTTTGGGAGAATTTTGATGCTGCAAAAAACAAGGTTTATTGCTAAACTGGTCTGCTAAGTGTAGCACATTTGAATTCCAATTATAATGTATATAAAAATAATATCACATGGTACTTGTGATATTATTTCTTCAGTCAAAACAAAAGAAAAGCAGAGCAGCGTTTTTTTTTCTAAATTGCTTGTATAATTTGTTTTTAATCTTGCACACACAGAACACATGAAAAATATACCATGCATTGGAAAAAAGGACTTTTGATAAAAGGTTTTTTTGTGATTAGTGTACCTCCTTTAGTCACTCCCAGAATGAGAGCCCACATGATACGGGGTCTGAATTGGTGAATATGCCAGATGCAAGAGAAGGGTGTGATGGCAAGAGTGACCAGCAATGTTCCTTGCAGCTGATGTTCTCATCAACTCTTTCTAACTCCACAAGTGTTGGACTAAGTCTTTTAGTAGCTGACATAAATTTTGAGCTGGAAGAGCTAGTACATGTTTTAAGCACTTTAATCTGTGTGTTTTTGTTGCAGTTATGGGTGAAAATAGTTGATGGAGACATTCAAGATTCTACACGTTCAGATCTCTATGACTACATAGTAGACTTCCTTACATTCTGCTCAGACCAAGAGCTGGTGTGGAAGTATTCTGAATGGATTTTACAAAAAAATGAAGAGGTTTGTGATTGATACACTTTTAACAGAACATCAGTATTTCCCTGCAGTGGTGTTTGGGTTTTCTTTAATGTTGACTTTTCTTGGTAGCTGATTGGACCTTTTGCAGAATACTTAATGCCAGTTAAATACTAATCAGCAGAAGAAAACTTGGAGGTTTCTCAATTCATCCAAGTCCCTCTATTAGCAGGTGGTAGTGATAATTGCCTCTTTTTATTCTGAAAACAAAGTTTAGAGCATTAAAAACACAGCATGTCTTCTGTTTTCTTCATATTGAGTAACATAATTTTTGAATCTTAAAATAAATAAATCATCTGGCAGGTTAGCTGTTGCTGCTGCTTTTTATTTGATAATTTTTGAATCTTAAAATAAATCATCTGGCAGGTTAGCTGTTGCTGCTGCTTTTTATTTTAAAGGGGATGGGTAGTATCTGTGTACACTGGGACATGGAATAAATAGCCTCCATTCAAGAAAAAATTTCATTGTTAGAAGACTTAACCTGCCAAAATAAAAAAAAAAAAAATTAAAAAAAAAAAAAAAACCACAAACAAAAAAACAAAACAACAAAACAAATTCTGGGATGTTTGATGTTGATCAGAAAGTCTTTGCTCTTGAAAATTGTCACTCCCTGATTTATATTAATTTCAGCATGGTTGTTTTGTGCAGTGGCAGATTTCTAAGCGTTTGGTAATTACAGAAGTCTCTTGCTCTGTCTGTATCAGCACATGTGAAAAGGCTTAGAATATTCTGGTCTGTAATTCAAGCTTTCTTGCTGCGAAGTCTGAAGTCTCTGGTTCTGTTGTGCAAATCTATTCAGTTTTTTTTTTTTTGTGGAAATTGTGCCCAAGCCAAGGTTTATAGGCTGGACAATGTATACACCACAAATTGAGGTATGCAGATAGGAGTGAGTGAGATCAAGATAAGCACAGGGCAGTGTAATCCTGTGGTGTTGACCAAGGTTTTGTGTTTATCTTCCTGAATAATGTATTAACAATAGTGCTATTCCTTTATAATTTTAAATACTTATTTAATAAAATAGTTGCCATTAAGTTCCCAAATGCAATAAATCTTTTCTAGGTTGGTGTACAGATTTTCACCAAAAGGCCTTTGGAAGAACAGGAGAAAAACAACTTTAATCCAGATGATATCATCAGTTGCCTTAACAAATATCCTAAAGCACGTGTCAAATATCTAGAACATCTAGTACTGGAAAGAAAAATACAGGTGAGTTCTGTAAGAATGCTAAACGTAGGCATAGGATTCAGAATGCAGATTATGATCAACAGGACTGAAAATAGGTAATGTCTGGAAAGAACACGCATAATATGAAGTCTTTCAAATGTATTCAGAGTAGAGCAGGAGTGTTTTTAAGATTAAAGTAAAAGATGAGGAGTGGATACCTTCATTATTTTGAATTCTTCAGTGCTTGTGATAGCAAAACAATTTCTTATGTCCCCACAGACTTAAGGGGTTACATCTGGTTGTTGCATACTTCTATTTCACTCACTTGATGAGGCTCAAATCTTCTTCTGGTAAGATCATAGAAAATGATCAGCATCAGGTTGATCATATTGCACAGTGGCAGCAATATATTAAAATTGCTGATTCAGTGTTTTACAAGTAAGAATATTTTATTCTGTCTTTCTAGAGAGATTTGAACAATCAACAATCAAATTAAACCATGCGCCCGTCACTAGAATTCCAAACCACTCTTGATTTTGAATGCTCAAAAGATGCATTCACAAGTCCTAAGTGACAGTGTATTACACTTTTGGGGGCTTTAGCTCAATACAAAAGCAGCCAAATGTTGTATTTGGATATGAAACATTTTAAGCACAGGAGAAGTTCTTTAACCTGGAAATAAAGCAAGGAAATGAACAGTGAAAGAACTCTGCAGAGCACTAAGAACTCTTCAGAGTCAGTGCACTAATTCACATTCTTCAAATGCACATCAGATCCATGGTTTTCCCTTATTGGTGTTGCAGGTGTGTTACACCATGACTGGTGAATGTACTTGTCTCTGATGTCATGAATATTTCCAAACAAACTCTTTGAGTTAAACACAGCACCTTGTAAAATATTTGTGAAAATACTTTACAATTGAATCTACCTGCTAGTAAAAACTGGGTTATAATTTGATCTTTAAAACTTACTGGGTTATTGTGAATGATTTAGTGGGAATGTTTAACAGTCAAATCATCAGCTTATTTTGATGAATATTGGATAGTAGATAACAAAAAAAGCAGTGTGCCTTCAGAGTGATATTCTACCTCTGTTGGCTTTGTCAGATTTTACTGCAGAAATAGAAAAGGTCAAAGAACATACCTGAATATGAGGAATCCCGTATTTACAATGTAGTTAGTGATGCTGCTCTGAATTAATTATCTATCTGTATGGACAAAAAACTTTGTGATTAATTCAAATTAAATAAGTTAAAACACATTTCTATGTAATTAAGTATATATTCATCACTATAATTTCTGGGCCAAGAGATTTGTAAACTGAGCTAACATTGTTCTATTCATCTGTAGAAAGAAAAGTACCATACTCATCTAGCTGTCTTGTACTTGGAGGCAATACTTCAGCTAAAATCTGAGACCACAGATAATTGTACAGAAACAACTGAACTGCTGTTGAAACTTCGCAGTCTGCTTCAGAAATCTGATCTTTATAGAATTCGCTTTATTTTAGGTAGGTTGCATGTTATCTGTTGTAAATGATGTATGTGTTTTCCAGCTGGACACAAAATCATAGTTCTTTCAAGGGTGGAAAACTAAAAGATCTGAGGTTTCTCTGTGTTTTTGTTTGATAGGCTGCATTTCTGACAGACACAGGTTCATTTAGGAAGCATATATGTTGGTGGTGTCCTTGGTCTTCATTGGCTCCAATGGTATGTTTGCCACTGCACCAGAGACAAAATACCAATTGGCCAGAACAAATATCTGCGTGGAACTTTCTTATTAGTCACCTTCTTTTTAATGATGAGCATGGAACTTTTGCATGACAAGACATGACAACCTTTTGCAAATGAGAGACCTGCAACTTCATTTTTTAAGCAGTCTGCTTCTAATGAATGGAAGTGAAACTTTAAGGAATCTAATTGCCAAGGACTTGTTACCCACAACCCTGAAACTCACTCTTGGGTTCATGTTAAATGAAAATATAAGTGAGCATCTTTTAAAGTGAAAAGTGCAACATACATGTTACTGTTGGTATTAGGCAAGCAACAGTTGAGCTAAGTATTTTCCTTGGTCAGTGCTTATAATCTTGGTCGGTGCTTATAATCTTCAATGTTTCATCCAGTGGAATGCAAACATACAATGCAATTAAGCAAGCCAAGTGTTTAAATCTTCTCAGGTATGGAGGATTATGGCTGAAGAATGATGGAATAGTGGATGAAAAGGAAGTGACTTGTTATTGAACTGAAAGATGTGAAATGATTTTTTGAAATTCAGTGGGAAAAAATCCAGTGTATATGGAAATAAAAATTGCTGAGTAGCAACTAAAATAATTTACCAAAGTTTAATGTTTCCATGCCTTTTCAGGCAGCAAAATGTTATGTGATGAATTCTGTGCAAATAGAGCACAGTCATTGAAATTCTTGTTCTTTTTCATCTTTTAGTCAGTTTTTAAACAAATTTTCAAGGCAAGAGTTACAAAATGGATTATTCTCCTGAAATCCATGTGCTCCAAAATAAAGGATTTCTTACATGACAATTCTTACGTTACATGAAAATGAGATCAGTGCAAGCTAGTGTGTTCCTCCCTGATAACGAAAACATTTTGGTGAGAAAAACATTGTATTTCCATGCATTTTACATAGGCCTATGGTCACCTTTACAGTAATTAGATTATTTTCTACTTTATTTTGAAATGCCAGATGAACTTGCTGTTCTACCTGCCTATTAATGACACTTAAACTTTAAACTGCATTAAGGGTTTGTAATGTCTTTTTCTCAAAGGGAAATGCTATTTGATTTTTATTGTTTTTTAATGGAGTTTATTCTGGGACCTCCTATAATACTGGGAGAAGCAGAGGTTAAAATTGTGGCTTCATCTTACGGTTCATTGTACATGGTAGCAGTGTCTGATAGAATTTAAAAGGTGTCAGTGACAGTGGTTATGGATTACCTGTTATTTAGTAATTTCTTTGTCCCATATTTTGTGGTACTCTTTTGTTAGAGATCTTTCCATATACATCTGAGCATTCCTGTGCTTACAAGCATCTGCCTTCTCTATAGGTGCACTGACTGGCAGAGGGAGCAGTTGTCTCCTCCACTAAGCAAATATTGCCTTCTTTCTCATTTAACAGACAAAATCCAGGGCACAGACCTTCACATGGAGAGTGCAATTTTATATGGGAAACTAGAAGAACACGAGAAGGCTTTGCATATCCTCGTCCATGAGTTGAAGGACTTCCATGCTGCTGAAGAGTACTGTGTGTGGAACTCTGAGAACAGAGACTTGCAGTACAGGCGGAGGCTTTTCCATATGCTGCTGTCAGTGTATTTAACTCCAGGCACTTCGGACTGTGCGCTCGTCATGGCTGCTGTGGATCTCCTGAACAACCACGCTGCGGAATTTGATGCAGGTCTGGTTCTGCAGGTGGTGCCCGACAGCTGGTCAGTGCAGCTCCTCTCCCCTTTCCTGGCTGGAGCAGTGAGACAAAGCATTCACACAAAAAGAATGACTCAGGTGGCACTTGGGTTAGCACAAGCTGAAAACTTAATCTACAAGCATGAGAAGGTAGGTTACTGGGGTGTTTTTAAATAAAAGCACTTTGAAACTTTACAGTTGAGTCCTTTGTTATACAATAATCAAAAGCAGTTTGAAGAATTAGTACAAAAGCTGTCTTCATGTCTTTGGCATTTATTAGGGTTTTTTTTTGCCATGATGACTAGACTCAAAATTGATTGTATGTTTTCTCTGTAAAAGAAGGGAAAGTTGGAGCCTTGAAATAGGAATAACCTTGGTGAGCTTCTGGGATGAATATAAAGTGAATCTGGGATTTGCAGATTAACAAAGTTCATGCAGAAACTTTAACAAGTGTCAGTTAGCATTTCTTTCACTAGGAGAGAGTGTCAGAATTTTTGATTCTTTTTTTTTTTTACAGTGTCACCTGTCAAAATTTATTAAAAAATTATCCAGCATTTAGTATTAATTGAAGCTTGTTAGTAGATTTTGTTAATGATAAAGCTTTCTTCCATTCCTAGCTAGGACAGTGTTGCCTAGAGTTCACAGCAGATTCTTGAAACTGTTTTTGTTTTATCCATCTGGTATAGTTGCAATTATGCTCCATCGTTTCCCTTCCTTTCTTGTTATATTCACATTTGGAATTCTTCCCCCCTCTCTTTCAGGTTAAACAAAAAGGAGCCCCGATTCTTCTTTCAGACAAAAAGGTGTGTCAGGTGTGCCAAAATCCTTTCTGCGAGCCTGTGTTTGTAAGATACCCCAATGGGAGTGTGGCCCACACGCACTGTGCTGCAAACAGGCATCCCAATTCCAATGTGACTCATCATTCTCCCAGCTCCAGCAATCAGACTTGAAATATTCCCACAGTTCCCATGACTTATACCCCATCGAAAGTGGGCTGGAAAGAAAACAGTGCAGCTACTTTAAGTATAAATCAAGGTGGACAGCTAGTTTTTGGGCTTATGGGAAGACTTCCAGTAAATATAAAATACTGCTACTTATCTTTTTGATTTCTAATGAATGTAGATAGAAAAGAAAATTCACTACCACACATGGAGAGGTGCAAATATGGGCTCTTCTGTGAATAGGAGTAAACACTTAAGAAAAAAGGAGCCTTTTCTTCACAGTGAGGATGAATGTTACGGAGTGAAGGCAAACAGTCATTTTAAGAATTGTCACTTTGCACTAACTGTGGTGTTGATAAATTTGTGGAGGGCAAGATCGCATTTATTGGAGTTGGAATTCCTAAAGAGTGATGGGACAAGATTGGCATCGTGCAGCTTACTATGAAGACAGAGATGTGCATCGATTTTAGTGCTTGCTGCAGCATGTCTTTTGGGCTGGATTATCTTCCACAGGATCACATTATCAACTTCATTTTTTTTCCTCTACAAAATGTTGGCTTTTGATGCACTTTTTAATACCTCCCTCCCATCCACCTGCTATATGGAATTTAAATGTAAGCACTGTTCTGTTAGGTTTCTGCTCCTGCAGTTACTGTAATGTACTGAGTGGAAACCAATAACCTCAATCACACAGGTGAGCTTGGAAGAAAAAAGAAAGTTTGTCTGGTCAGACTGTAGTCACTTTTATATGGGGGAAGAGGCCCTGACTTTAATACTGATTTATTTATTAATATGCAAATATGCTGTACATACAGTTGAATAAATTGATCTTATCATTCTAGCATTTCTTTGGAGGATTAAGATGTAACTGATACATAAATGTACAGATGATGTGCTAAATGTTTGCTATAACATAACTTAGGCAGGTTGGAACTCCACAAAAATGGGTTTTAGTGCTTATGGATGACTTTGTGCAATCAAAACCATAGAGAGAAGGCATAAAATTTTAAGAAATCTACAAAAGTGCACTACAGGGGTACTGGGTTTTTTATATTCTACTAAATATTCTGTGAACTAAAATTTTTCAAATAACATAAACCCCTTACTTAACTGCCCTCATATGTATTCACATTGTTATTTAACCATTTTAAAGAAGTTGATTTAAAATATGTAGCTTCCCCCAAGAGAGGTTAAAAAATGACAACTTTAAATAAACTTAAGTACTGCAAAGTGAAAGCATTTCTTTGAATTCTGTAAAGATCTAATAAATACCAGGCTTACTGACCTGCATGCAGTTGAGTTGGTATGGCTGCTCCCTGTTTCAGAATTCCAAATCAGTGGTGGCTTTCAGCAAAATGGAGTATCTGCTTGGTCCTTTCTAGAATCACAGAACAATCTGAGTTGGAAGGGATGAATCAGGATCATGGAGTCCAGGTCCTGGCCCTACACAGGACAACCCGGAGTCACACCGTGTCCCTCAGTGTTGTCCTGATGCAGCCTCCTTGTACAGAAAGGCTGGCTTAGGAAGTACAGTGCTGCCTCCAAGAAGGGGCAGCCAGACCTCATCCAGGGGAAGAAGATATCCATCTCTTCTCACAGAAACATGCAATGGTTTGGGGTGAAAGGGACCTTAAAGATCATCTATTCCAACGCCCCTGCCATAGGCAGGGATATCTTCCACTAGACCAGGTTCTTCAAAGCCTCATCCAATCTGGCCTTGAACATTTCCAAAGATGGGTTGTCTACAACTTCCCTGAGCAACCTGTGCCTCACCACCCTCACAGTAGAGAATTTTTTCCTGATATCTGATCTGAACTTGCCCTCCTTCAGCCTAAGCCATTCCCCTTTGCCCTATTGCTACATGCAAAGTCCCTCTTCAGCTCCCTTGCTGTCTCCCTTCAGGTTCTGGAAGGTGCTATAAAGTCTTCCAAGAGCCTCTCTCCAGGCTGAAGAACCCCAGCTCTCAACCTGTGTTCCAGGAGAGGTGCTCCAGCCCTGTGATCATCACTGAGGCTTTACTCTCAACTCATTCCAACAGTTCAACATCTTTCTTGTATTGTGGGTCCCTGAGCCATACTCGAGGTGTGGAGTACTTTGCTTTAAAGCAAAGACCTTTGAATCTTTCTCCTGATTTTGAAATTAGGAAAGTATAACTGTTGTGCTGAATTTTACTTACTTTTGAAAGCCCGAGTAAGGAATTTTGTAGTGCTTTGTCCTAAGACATGCAAGTCACATTTAGTGAGAGGCACTTCAGAAGAAGTCAAGTGTGGGCATTTCTGACTGTTCTGGCATGAGTGACTCTGCTGTGGCACTGGTATAAGCAGAGTCTCTGTCTTGTATCATGGGGTTTGAACATTGTGTCTACAACTGGCAGTAATGGCATAGAAAAATTTGTAGTCCCCTGTCCTCAAAATACTTGCTGATAAGAGTGGAAGTGACTTTTACAAAGACCCTATAAAACTTTTGTGTGCACTAGCATGCATTTCTTAAGAAATACTTTCTTTTGCTGCCAGCATCCTAAGTATGCTCTTTTTTCCTATTTAGTAAGGGCGTGCTAAAACAGACCCCTCTCCATGATTTAGGGTAATTTTAGCCACTGAGAAGTGATGAACTACTGCTGCAACAGAATAAAAATCATATCATTCCAGACCTCAGGAAAGTTCTCAGTTGCTATTGCAAGAAAAAGTATGCCTATAAAAGATTAAATAATTCTTTATTAATAGTCAATATCTTTTTGCAGATATGTACTTTGGCTAAAATGCAGCAAAACCAATAATTGTACATACAGAACAAGTACAGAAATCAGAATAATGAAAGCCAGCATTTTTGCAATCAAAAATGTGATTGATATTTAAGTTGGGGACATCCAGGTCTTTGAAACCCAGCCCTGCAAAAATGTGGAGTGGAAAAATTGATACATTGTTACCTGTTGCTTTGTTAAGTTTTATACTAGAACTCATTTGAATTAATTAATATGGAAATCCCACGGTAGCCAAAGGAAAAAGCAAAGAAAGCCAATGTGAGGCTGAGGCAGAGCAAGAGCTCAGCAGGGAGGTGGCAGGTGGGCAATGCTCTTCCTGTGTGTGTCCAGCACGTGAGCAGCTGGGAATATTCCCAAGCAGAGGAGATGTCAGCCCACATCAGGGTGCTGTGTGGTGTTCTGGGCTTTGTCACCAGGAAATTTTTGAAAGGTCTGCATTTAAATTCCCTTAGGTGGGACAACTGAACACCTCTTGGGTAAGAGAGCTTCATTTTGGGGAACCTGAGTTCAGTCCTTCTTTTGTTTTGGCACTGTCAGTTTGGTGATTCTTGGTTTATGTACCTGAAATCCTGTGCCAGCATTGCTGCTGTGGTAAGTTATGGCTGCAGCAGCACAGAGGCAGTGAACACGGAAGGAACCACATTTGGGTATTAATTGCTGACTTCATATGTGAAGGAGGAGAGGCAGGAAAGAGAAATATTTCTCTGACCATTCTTCTAGTTTGGAAATAAATGCTTTTTTTGGGAGTTAAAACTTTATGTGATCTTTTTATCTCTAGTTAGGGAATGTGGAGTCTAAGACCTGCCCTTGGAGAGTGGAGATTCTGCCAGAATATTTATCCTTAATTTAGTTGTTGCTAAATTATTTGAAATTCATCTCCCTTACTTTTTCCAATGAGTCTCCTCCAAGTTTGTATGTGCCAAAACCAAAACAGTAGTGCAGTTTGTTTTTTTTTTTAATGTGACACTGTGCCTGTGATTCAGGACATAATAAATGAGATTAGTCTCTCACACTGATGCCTCTGTGGATATCAAAACACGTTTGTCTAACACGTAACCTCCAGTTACTGGAATATTGCAGCTCTGACTATTTTTTCAGCCATTCACTGCTACAAATGATGGTACATATGAAAAGCACTTGTTAAACTTTCTTCTACACTTTCATAGCTCCACACTTCCTCATGTAAAAATTACCTATGATGTGTGTGTCATCATATGCAGTTTTTCTCTCTTTCAGTCAATAAGAGGAAAAATCCTAATTAAAAAAGTTGCTCAGAATCTGGCACTCTGCTCAAAATAAGATTCATGGCTGTATATTCATGAGAAAGAATTCAGTTACATCTTCATTTCTTCTGTTTAAATGGGTAAGTTGTCACATTGATATCAGAATTCTTGCAATATTGTCAGAGGCAGGGGAAATAAGCATTTGGGGGTTGTTACACAGAGCACACCTCAAATACATGTGAACTGACTTGTTCAGACAGCCCATACTGAGGTGGCTCAGGTCTGCACTGAGTCCAAGTTACAATGAGAATTCTCTCTTTGCTTCCCTTGCTCCCAGCCTCCAGGAACTTTCCAGCCTTTGTTACCTGACCAGATTAATGTCATTTGTCTAGCATTTAACTGACATGGGTACAAATCTTGAGAGTTTGGGGGACTCCTGAGCAGATCTGTCTTCAGTAAAATGTCACTTTATTACTCAGCCACATGAAGCCCTACTAATGTGAGCTGTGGATATTTGGTGGTAGGGACAGAGTATGTGTATGTTTTCTGAGAACTTTATTACATATTTATACACACAAGCATTATCCTGACTGCTGAGTCTTTATAACAACATCTGTTCTTCGCAAGACTCCTGTCCTGAATGACATTAAAAATATTTTGTTTTATATGTTCTATCAAGAAGTAATTTTTTATTTTATAACTCTTCCTGGTTTGCTGCAGTCTCTATTCAGCATGGTTCTAAGTGTTTTATTAACATCCTGCTGTTCATAACAGGCAGCAGCTAATACATTTTCATTGTGAGCTCTCTTCCTATTGCCTATATTAGCTAATTAATTTTTCTCTTGCTGTACAACACTTTGGGGCTTATGCCTTGTGAACACTGGTAGTTAAATGTGCTGCTACTTTTTAATGAAAAAGAAGAAAATAACATTCTGTGATGTATGATTGATTTCAAAATTGAAGCTCCCCTGCAGTAAATTTGTTCAGATGGAAGTTTGTACCGTTAAGGCTTTTGGACTTAGTGGTTATATTGGTGAACATACACAGCAGTATGTGGAATGTACAAATGTATAAATATGTTGATTTTTAATAAAATAAATTCTTTTAATTACATTTGTCATGGATTCGTAGATACATAAACCCTGGAATGTGAATGTCCAAGTGAAGGGAAAAGATTATCTATTGATGAACAGAGGATTCATCAGGGTGACTGACAGAGGGGTCAGATCCCTGATGTGGAAGTGAGGCTGGTGCTTACGTACTCTACAGAAGGCAGCGGTGTTGGTGTTCCTCATCTTCCTCCTCAGCTCTCAGGACTAATGGCCCTGCCTCTGGGCCCAAAGGACCAGCTGCTCCCAGTGCTGCCACAGTGGCACTGTAGGACAAGGAAACCTCAGGAAAGGAAGGGTGGTAAGGGCTGGTAGAGTCTGTGGTAAGCCAAGGAACTGGTGTGATCTCTAAGGGGTCTGAGAGGGGAATGCAAAGGAGAAGTGCAGAAAAGGAGTGCTTAGGGCATGCAGGTGTGACCTGACTCAGCTGCTCTCCAGCCCCACTCTGCCAGGCAGTGCAGGCACTGGCAATGCTGCAGGCATCCCCTGGATGCTGAGGGCAGGTTGTGTGCACAGCTTAACTGGGGATCCAGTGGGGCTAAAATCCAACAGCTGGAGCTTCAGGGAAGGGCTCTTGTTTTGAAGTTCAGGTCTGTGATCACTTGGCAAGGTTTCTACAGCCCTATCAGGTAAAGTTTGTTCCTTTGGCTGAAGTGAAGGCTGTGGGAACATTGGTGTGTGCTCAGGGTGCTCTTACAGAGGGTGTTTGGGATGCAAATATTGAGTGCAGCATGATGCTGGAAGGAATGAAAGACTAACACAACAAGCATGATTTTATTAGCTCAGCCAGCAGGTAATACCGTGGTTTGCATTGCCCCATCCATCCATCCATCCATCCATCCATCCATCCATCCATCTATCCATCATCTATCCAGGAAAGGTAACACAGAAAGCATTAAGTCCCAAACCCAGTCGTGAATCCAGCACAGTGGGATTTCAGCTAGTTTTGCCTCTAGACAGTTAGAAAGTGGTCCATGCTAATCATCCAGATGGCAACTCCTTCCCAGACAAATAATCAATAGAGTATAGCTGAGTTTAGGCAGAAATGAGTCCCAAAGGTCCAGTTCACTGCAACAACTGTAGCTGCAGGACAGCATAGGGTCAAAGAGGCCAGGGCTGCCAGCAGAAAGCTGATGGCTGAACACATGGCAGGTTTTCAGTAGATAACAAGGCTGATTACAGTGCCTCAAAATCCAATAGCAGTCATGAGCATCATTACCAATGCCTATAATTGCCAATAGTCCCCTGAAGATATTGTCCCCTGACCACCTTGTCAGCATGGTATTTGCATTGACTGGGGCCTCACCATCCCAATGCAAGTTAAATCCTAGAAAAATCTAGGCTGGTTGGGCTCTTTGGAGATGTTGTCCAAGCCCAGCTTGATGCAGGGTCATCCTGTGTCAGGCTACTTGTCTTGTTTTAAACCAGTGTTGACAAGCTTGAAACCAGATTGGCAAAGGTCCAAGTGTCTTCTTGGCATGTATTATTTAAACATCCAAAATACTCTCTGTTAAAGAAAGGTAAAAGCCTAAAAGGTACATTTGCCTTGAATAAATAGTTTCATTTATTTTGTAGTTTGGGTTTCTTAGGGTTTTTTTTGGTTTGTTGATTGGTTGGTTGGTTGGGGTTTTTTTTTTTTTTTTGTTTTTTTTGGTTTTTTTTTTGTTTTTTTTTGTTTTGTTTTTTTTTGGTGTTTTTTTTTTGTTGTTGTTGTTGTTTTTGGTTTTTTTGTTGTTTGTTTTGTCTTTGCTTTTTTGCAAATATTACAGGAAGACTAAATCAGCAGGGAATTTCTAAAAATTATCAAGTTACTCGGGACAGCTTCAAGATTATGTACTTTGTGTCTCTAACATGGAGAAGTATATTCAAATAAAATGCAAGTTCTTTGTATCTGTTTGAAAGTCACAGACAGCATGCAAAGATGTTTCAATCCTTTTAGTCCCTCTAACATACAAGGTTACTCTGCAGTGTCATGCCAGAAAGCTCCCAGAGTGTGACAGAAGTAGGGGTTTTTCTACTTGAATCACAAGCAGTTGAAGATGGGGAGGGAGGAGTACAGGATGGATTTGTATCTGCTTTTTTAAAAGATGTCATTCACTGGGGATTTGTATTTGCAAAGCGAAAGAAGGTTTTTATTCCTTTTTTTGATCCATCTTTAGGTTTTAACTTGTCATATCTCATTTCAAAGCATCTCTGTGGCCTTTTGTGACATGCTGATTTGTCAAGCCGAAGTTTTAGTGTTCCTGCTTCAAAACCTTCCTGAAATCTCTTGTTCTGGGTAGCAGCCACTCAGTACATCCCCTCCAGATACTCCAGTCAGCGTGTCAGGAGTACTTCTCCTCACAGTTTCTGGTTCTGTAATGTGAATGCCCATACAACTGTGCTGGTGTCATGGTTTAGCCCCAGCCAGCAGCCAAGCCCCACACAGCCCTGTGTGAGCCCTGCT